AATAATAATAATAATAATAATAATAATAATAATAATAATAATAATAATAATAATAATAATAATAATAATAATAATAATAATAATAATAATAATAATAAAGTTGGAAGGGACCTTGGAGGTCATCGAGTCCAACCCCCTGCTCAGGCAGGAACCCTATACCATTTCAGACAAACGGCTGTCCAGTCTCTTCTTAAAAACTTCCAGTGTTGGAGCATTCACCGCTTCTGGAGGCAGGTTGTTCCACTGGTTAATTGTCCTCACTGCCAGGAAGTTTCTCCTTAGTTCCAGGTTGCTTCTCTCCTTGATGAGTTTCCATCCGTTGCTTCTTGTCCTGCCTTCAGGTGCTTTGGAGAATAGCTTGACTGCCTCTTCTTTGGGGCAGCCCCTGAGATACTGGAAGACTGCTATCCTGTCCCCCCTCGTCCTTCTCTTCATTAAACTAGACATACCCAATTCCAGCAACCGTTCCTTATATGTTTTAGCCTCCAGTCCCCTAATCATCTTTGTTGCTCTTCTCTGCACTCTTTCTAGAGTCTCAGCATCTTTTTTACATCATGGTGACCAAAACTGGATGTAGGATTCCAAGTGTGGCCTTACTAAGGCCTTGTAAAGTGGTATTAACACTTCACGTGATCTTGATTCTATCCCTCTGTTAATGCAGCCCAGCACTGTGTTGGCTCATTCATCTCCTGTTCCATTTTTCTTCACTACATCTTAGATCAAAAGCTTGGTCAGGTCCCTCCAGGAACTAGTGGTCCATGTTAAAAAAAGACCATTTCTGGTGCCTCGATGGAATATACGAATATCAGAGCCTACTTAGCTTAGGTCAGGGGTCTCCAAGCTTGGCAAATTTTAAGTCTTGTGGGTTTCAACTCAGCGTGCCTGGCTGAGGAATTCTGGGAGTTGAAGCCCACAAGTCTTAAAGTGGCCCAGTTGGAGACCTCTGGCTTAGATAAAGATGACCAACTTAGTTTGGTTGTGAGAATCCAGGCTGTTTTTCTCTCTCTCCCCCCCCCCCCTAACAGGATTCAATGACCCGGGTTTACTTTGACCCCCTTGCCCAGCACCGTGACTGGTGCCCGTGGGTCAACGAGGTGAAGGAGGCAACGGTGCTTGGAACCAAAGGAGATTCCTTGGAGGAGAAGGCAGACCGTGGCTGGCAGGTGGTCATGAAAGTTCTCCAGGCTTCCAGGCAGTCAGACAAGCCAGCCCATCTGGAGAGCGAGGTGAGTCGGGCCACCAGTGGTCAACCAAGAGTGCCCAGACTTGGCAATTTGAAGACTTGTGGACTTCAACTCCCAGAATTCCCCAGCCAGCAGGGCTTTTAACTCCGCCCCCAGTTCCTGCCGCTCCTTCTCCTACAGATCCATATTGTAAAATTGTAAGCCATCTAACACTGCCGAGTAGCCCCAGCCTAGTCCAGTTGAACTACTACGTTCAGACATGTCCACACATCGTCAAGAGGTCAGAGATGAAAAACACCTGATTGGATGACAAAGTTCGTCCCAATCCTTCCGATCCGATTTTATGGGGTACATCAAGAATTGGTTAGGTGCTGCCTTCCGCGGATGTAAGTCACAAAGTTGGATCAGAAGGATTTGGATGAACTGTGGACATCATCTAGTTCAGCATTTCTCAACCTTGGCCCCTTGAAGATGCGTGGGCTTCAATTCCCAGAATTCTCCAGCGAGCCTTACTTAAGGTGGGACTGGAACTCACCATCTCCGAGTGATTGGCCCAAAATCGCCCAGCCGGATTTCATCCCTAAGGCGGGACTAGAACTCACCGTCTCCTGATGATTGGCCCAAAGTCACTCACCCATCGTTCATGCCTAGGATGGGACTACAACTCACCATCTCCTGTGATTGGCCCAGAGTCACCCAATTGTCTTTCATGTCTAAGGCAGGACTAGAACTCAAAATCCCCTGGTGTTTGGTGGAACTAGAACTCACTGTCTCCTGATAACTGGCCCAAAGTCACTCACCCATCTTTCATGCCTAAGGCGGGATTAGAACTCACTGTCTCCTGGCGATTGGCCCAAAGGCACCAGCCGGCTTTCCTGGCTTAAGGTGGGATTAGAACTCATTGTCTCCTGGTAATTGGCCAAAGTCATCCGGTTATTTTTCATGCCTAAGGCGGGACTAGAACTCACTGTCTCCTGGTGATTGGCCCAAAGTCACCCAGCCGGCTTTCATGCCTAAGGCAGGACTAGAACTCACCATCTCCTGGTGATTGGTGCAAAGTCACCCAGCCATCTTTCATGCCTAAGGCGGGACTAGAACTCACAGTCTCCTGGTGATTGGCTCAAAGTCACCCAACCCGCTTTCATGCCTAAGGTGGGACTAGAACTCCCCGTCTCCTGGTGATAGGCCCAAAGTCACCCAATTGCCCTTCACACCTAAGGCGGGACTAGAACTCACCGTCTCCTGGTGATTGGCCCAAAGTCACCCAGCCGGCTTTCATGCCTAAGGCGGGACTAGAACTCCCTGTCTCCTGGCGATTGGCCCAAAGCCGCCCAATTGCCTTTCACGCCTAAGGCAGGACTAGAACTCGCAGCCTCCCAGTCTCTAGCCCGCTGCCTTCCCCACTAGACCGAACCGGTTCCCTCTCAGCCTTGCTTTTACCTCCGTGACGCTCCGCTTTCTCATTCGTATCTCTCTCTTTCTCCTCCCCGCCGCAGAGTCTCTCGTCCAAAAGCCGCAAAGTCTTCCAGATTTTCCGCCAGTGGGAAGCCGCCTGCTCTTCCTGAAGACCTGGAGGCAGCCATGGATGCCCGGCGGAGCTCTTCCCCGCTCGGCTAGCAGGGGGGGACATCGAGAAACCCCGGGAGCAATGATTACGTACCAACCTTACCCGCTGGCAAGTCTCGCCTTGCCCCCTGTCCACAGAGAGAAGCGTGGGCAGTGCCCGCCTCGCCCGGAAGACGAGGCCTACCTGCCTTGCAGAATCCCCCTTCGGAGGCGGGTAACGCTCCCTGTGCGTTTGTGCCACCCTCGCACACCAGCACCCCGAGGCTAGGTCCGCTCTGCAACATCCTTGGGGTGGCATTTGGGTCTGGGCTTCCTTCCTTCTGCCCCTCCCTCTGCAGGGGGTGTGTCTGTGGAATTAGTTTGGGGGGGGCCCCATCAGACACTCTTAGCACCAGCACAACTATCGGTCCCTGGCACTCGGCCCGGGGCCCGACACTCCCGTTACACGCTGGGTGTGAAAATGTGTGTTCCCTGCCCTGGGTTCGAGTTGAACCGAGGCCCGATTTGTTTGCAACTCGGATGGAAGTGGAACACTTGTTGACTTCTTATTTCTACACGGAAAAGAGAAGGACCTCCCAGAATTCCCTGTGACGATAGTCAGTCTCTCTTCTGGCAAAAAAAATATGTATATATTAACAATCCGGTTTTATCATTTGAAAGATCAGAATTTGTCTTTCCTCCGGAGACAGGTGGGAAAAATTGGGGGAGAGCTTGCCGCAAATCGGGTGTTCGACTTTGTCAACTTTTAAGACGGGTGGACTTCAACTCCCAGAATTCCTTAGCCAGCTGTGCAGGAGGGATTTCAACTCCCAGAATTCCTTAGCCAGCTGTGCAGGAGGGATTTCAACTCCCAGAATTCTCTCGCCAGCTGTGCAGGGTGGATTTCAACTCCCAGAATTCCTTAGCCAGCTGTGCAGGTTGGATTTCAACTCCCAGAATTCCTTAGCTAACTGTGCATGTTGGATTTCAACTCCCAGAATTCCTTAGCCAGCTGTGCAGGATGGATTTCAACTCCCAGAATTCCTTAGCCAGCTGTGCAGGATGGACTTCAACTCCCAGAATTCCCAAGCCAGTCATGCATGGCTGGCTGAGGAATTCTGGGAGTTGAAGTCCGCCAGTCTTAAAAGTTGACAAAATGGGACACCCCTGCCTTAAATATAAAGTTGTGTTATGTTATAAACCACCTAAACACCAGAGGTTGTGGATGTACAGGTGGCTGTTTCACACCTGGTTAACAAGCCTGTTTCATGCATAGCTGGACCCCTTTATTAAGAAAAAACCAACACCTTACGTTTTGTGCAGTGTTTGTATATAATAAACAACAGAATTGGGGTTCATTTATTTTGCATTTTTGTGATGTGCATCACACTTTTCTCACAGGAGCTTGTTAGGGGCAGGTTAGGGAGAGAGCGGGGGGGGGGGACTTCTCATCCAGTCATCCAGCGGGTGAGGAGAGATTTGAATCCAGATCTTCCTAGACTTAATCCAGCGTTTTCGGCGCTGTCTCATGCCGGGATAGAAATTACGAGCTAAACCAAAGAAATAATTTTAATGTCTTTGTGTTGGTTTTGGGGGGAGCTATGGAGGGACCATGGTGCAAAGAGAGAAAGGAGACAATTTTAAAGAGAGTTTCAAAAGACCCAACCAGGGGTAGGCAACCTTGGCTCTTTTATGACTCGTGGACTTCAACTCCCAGAATTCCTGAGCCAGCATGGCTCACAATGGAAACCTCTCCCTTTCCCCTCAGCATGGCTGGCTCAGGAATTCTGGGAGTTGAAGTCCACGAGTCACAAAAGAGCCAAGATTGCCTACCCCTGTCCTAAGTCCTCCTGTTCTAAGCGGTGAGCCTCCTAGACCAGGGGTAGGCAACCTTGGCTCTTTTATGAGTTGTGGACTTCAACTCCCAGAATTCCTCAGCCAGCATGGGAGAACTATGGCCCCCTTGATGACTTCTGAACGTCAACTCCCAGAATTCCTGAGCCAGCATGGGGGAACTATGGCCCCTTTCGTGACATGCGGACTTCAACTCCCAGAATTCCTCAGCCAGCATGGAGGAACTNCGACAACCCTGTGAGGTGGGTTGGGCTGAGAGAGAGAGAGAGAGGGATTGGTGCAAATGCACTCAGCTGGCTTTCGTGGCTAAGGCGGGATTAGAACTCACCTCCTCCTGCTGATTGGTCCAAGTCCACTCAGCTGGCTTTCGTGGCTAAGGCGGGACTAGAACTCAGCTCCTCCTGCTGATTGGTCCAAGTTCACTCAACTGGCTTTCATGGCTAAGGCGGGACTAGAACTCAGCTCCTCCTGCTGATTGGTCCAAGTTCACTCAGCTGGCTTTCCTGGCTAAGGCGGGACTAGAACACCTCCTGCTGATTGGTCCATGTCCACTCAACTGGCTTTCATAGCTAAGGCGGGACTAGAACTCATCTCCTCCTGCTGATTGGTCCAAGTCCACTCAGCTGGCTTTCCTGGCTAAGGCGGGACTAGAACTCAGCTCCTCCTGCTGATTGGTCCAAGTCCACTCAGCTGGCTTTCCTGGCTAAGGCGGGACTAGAACTCAGCTCCTCCTGCTGATTGGTCCAAGTCCACTCAACTGGCTTTCCTGGCTAAGGCGGGACTAGAACTCAGCTCCTCCTGCTGATTGGTCCAAGTCCACTCAACTGGCTTTCATGGCTAAGGCGGGACTAGAACTCAGCTCCTCCTGCTGATTGGCCCACGGTCACTCATCCGGTGTTCAATGCCAGAGGCAGGCCTAGAACTGCTGTGAGGATCAGTTGTAAGTCACTTTTCTCAGTGCCATAGTAATTTTGAGTTTTGGTCACTAAGAGAATGATCGTAAGATGAGGACTAACTGTACAAAAGCCGCTAATAAAGACTGGAATCGAAATCTCAGCTCTGGTAAAGAAGAAGGAAGAAACTCAAGATAACCTCACCTTGATTCTCTTTGGTATAAGAGGGGGGCAAAAAGGAAACTTGAGCAGCTCAAGGTCCTGTTATTAGGCCCTAAAACCATAAGGTCCTTTTAAAGTCTGTTTTTCCTGACCTGGCCTACCTCGAAGGGATAAAGATCTAATACCGGAACCGTCAAACCTGGCCACTTTCAGACTTGTGGACTTCAACTCCCAGAATTCCCCAGCCAGCATGGGGGAATTGTGACTTCGAACGTTCACAAAACCGAAGTCAAGGGTTACTTGTAGTTTGTTGTTAGTTGCGAAGTCATGTCCGACCCATACGCGACCCCATGGACCACGTTCCTCCAGGCCTTCCTGTCCTCTACCATCTTCCGGAGTCCATTGAAGCTCAGGCCTCCTGCTTCAGTGACTCCATCCAGCCACCTCCTTCTCCGTCGTCCCCTTCTTCTCTTGCCCTCCATCTTTCCCAGCATCAGGCTCTTCTCCAGGGAGTCCTTCCTTCTCATTAGGTGGCCAAAGTACTTGAGTTTCAACTTCAGGATCTGGCCTTCTAAAGAGCAGTCGGGGTTGATCTCCTCTAGGACTGACCGGTTGGATCGCCTTGCAGTCCAGGGGACTCGCAGGAGTCTTCT